CGGGTATGTAGGGTGTCTCTATTTTTATTCACTTATTTTATTTTTGTTATAACAAGTAGAATAATGACGAATATTTTTTTTGTACAGGTAGTTGCTTTCCTCCTTTTTAACGATATTTAGGAAAACATCCTATAAAGGAATTGCAATCATAAAGTATAGTCACTTGTTGCCATATTGCCCCCCAGAGTGTTTGCACTAAACTGTGCCAGTTTCCTTACAGATCTGTCAAAATTTATTTATTTTTTCCCATTTCAATGCATTCTGAACTTTCTGTTGCATGCGATTTATAAGGACCTTGTCGTTGTAACTCTCACAGCATCTAATAAGTCCTTAAATGGCTGTTGAATGAATTCATTAAGGATAGTGTTTAGAAATGGAAAAAATAATTATTGTAATACATGTGTACACTGTTTGGATGTACATGGATATTTTAAATGAAAAAATTTAGAAATTAATATGATGTATACCAAAGCATCTGTCTCTTTCACCCAAATGTAGAGGCAGTTGGGTGGTCCGATGGATAGAGTTCTGGGTCCGAAGTCACAAAGATCTGAGTTCAAATCCAGCCTCAGACGCTTCCTAGCTGTGATCCTTGGCCAGTCCCTTCACTGCCATCTGCCTCAGTTTCCTCAACTATACAATGGGGATAAATAGCACCTACTTCCCAGGCTTGTAGGGAGCTAAGGAGACAATATTTGTACAGTGTTTGGCATATGCTAAGCTCTGTAGAAGTAACTGCTAGTCATTTTATTATTATTATTATAGCTTTGAAGACCTGAAATAGCTTTAAGATTGTGCCTCTGTTGCTCCTTAAAAAAATGTTGATGACCTTTGTTGCTTTAGCTAAAATACAACAAAGCCTCATTAATTTGGACACAACTAATTTAGAATTCATAGTAGGGGTAAAATCTTGTCATAGGTCATGCCTTTGCAAACTTATGCATGACAAAACTGTGTTCATATTTGCTTAAAAGGAACCAGTGACCTGTTGGCCTGGAGTTTTATTTCTTTTGACTGAGGACCATTGTAAAATTTTTTCTGTGATCTTCACATCAAAACAGACTAAAGTTAGAAGGAGCTTGAGTACCGGAGTGACATTTGAGAGTTGCCTGTAAAAGGGATTGGCTCGATAACTCAGTAGGCGTCCAGGCCCTGTAATAGTCATTTTCTCAAACTCGAGGGCCCAGTTGCTGACGGGAAGGGAAATTGAGTTGTCCTTTAGTTTTTCACAGTTCCAAGTTTTTTCTCTTAAGGAACAGTTATTCTTCCATTCCCTTCATATTTTTTTTTCTACGTTAGACATATCAGTACCTTCTCCTCCCATCTTTTCATGTTCTAGGAGCTAAGAGAAGGAAAAAGAAAGTGTTTTGTGCTCCCGCCTCCTTTACTGTATTCATGGCACTTCAGTTTGCCATGCTTTGGAGATCCCATGCTGATCTCTGAGCCCTGCATATGGGGATTTTCACTTTACACTTGGCCTTAAATACATGAAGGATTTTAAAAACCTTCTGCAAATATTGGAAAATATTAGTTGTACCAAAGACTAGTCACAGCTTGATGAATCTATGACAAGTCTTAGTTCTTATTTTTTCTTCAACTGAATTCTGCTCTTCACAAAAGACTTTATTTTACAAAATCCAATTCATCCATTTGTTTGAGGAGGAAGCTAGCCCCTAGAATAGAAGGTAGCTTTCAACTAAATGATTGGTTTGTAATTGAGGCATAAGAAAGGATTTTTCTTTAAAAATGGGGCAGTCTACAATCTTTTCTCTCTTTCCAGGGCAAAGCTGTATCTGCAGGGTTAATTAGTTTGAATAGTTTGGCAAGGTGTGGGGCTCACTAGTTGGGACAGATTCCAGACGGTTCTGGGGCTAAGTTCTTTTAGACCCTTTAAAAAATGTGATTAGATACATATTTTAGCCTATTTACGGGCTCCCTTCTTAAAGTGATTTTGTCTTTTTAAGTGAAGTAACTTAGCCTGTTATGGGGGAGATTTTTGCTTCCATAATCCCTACTGAGGGCAACAATTTCCCCAAATCCTCACTTTTCTGTCTGGCACCTGAGCCCCAAACCTCCTGGGGAGGTCTGCTGTAATCTGCTTGTTTTCTCTTTCTTTTTTGCTTCTGGAGATAGTGTGTGTAGGTCCTTGGTTACCTTCACCTGATTTCTATTTGTGCATTATCTTGATTACTTTGCTTGATGACTTAAAAACTAAAACAAAACCGCCTTTGTGGCCCTCTCGCTCAATGAAAGACAATAGGATGGCCTGGGGCTCTTGAAATGGTTTCAGCATTGATTAAAATGGAAAGTTACTTGCATTTATCCTCCACATAACAATGAAAGCCATTTGAAGCTACTTTGAGAAATTCTTTTAAGTGCCTTAGGAGTGTGAGTGTGGCTTTGATATGTTAAAAGCCTGGGTGGCTTTGGTACTTTCTTTGTGGCTCTCCTGCTTGGAGGCTGTTACCTGAAAGGTGTAGGTGCTGAGGGCCTGAGCCGGGATGCCAGACAGTGCTGTTTGGCCGATGGTTGTTCGTTGTACTGCAGGTGAGTGAAAGGAGGGGGGAGAGTATTGGGGCTTAGTGCTGGAAGTCCACGGTGCCCCCTGGGGATGCTGGCTCGGCTGGGGCTCCCTCTGCTTTCCCTCCTGTAGCCACAGGAAGGAGGACACTGGTGTTTGTGGTTTCTCCTGGATCCTCCTCAATCTTAGTGCCTTCCCACTGAGATTATCTGCTTTTCATCCTGTCTGTATTATCTCTCCCATTAAACTGTAAGTTCCTTGAGAGCAGGGACTATTTTTTTTGCCTTTTTTCTTTTTTTTGTTTTGGTATCCCTAGGACGTAGCTTGGCATCAAGGTGGCATCCCAGTGCACAGAACACTGGACCTGAAATCAGGACGACATGAGTTCAAATTCAGCCTAAGAAATTTACTAGTTGTGTGATGCTGGGCAAGTCACTTAACCTCTGCCTCAATTTCCTCATCTGTAAAATGGGAAGAATAATAGCACCTGCTTCATAGGATTGTTGTGACGCTCAAATGAGATGATAATTGTAAAACACTTAGCACAGTGCCTAGTACTGCCTGGCATAATTAATACTTGATGACTTGACTTAATTTGTTCTGATGAAACAAGAGAATGGGCAGCTAAAAGCTGGGGTGGGGAGGCTGGGGGTCAGGAGTCTTGAAGACACCTCTTCCTGAGTTCAGATGTGGCCTCTGAGACTTACCAGCTGTGTGACCTTGGACAAGTCCCTTCACCCTGTTTGCCTCAGTTTCCTCATTTATAAAATGAGCTGGAGAGGAAATGGCAAACCACTCCAGTATTTTTGCTAAGAAAACCCCACCTGGGGTCATGGAGAGTCAGACATCTGAAACAACTGAACAGCAGTAGCAGCAAACAAGAGAGTGAAGTGGTTTGTGGTCTCCTCAGAATCACCCACAGGGTCGCACGGGGGTCCGCAGGACAAGTTGGGTATGAGTCCCCCACCATGTCATTTGGGGCTTCTCATCTTGGCATAGGAAATACCCTTACTGCTCCCTGGGTTTGGCATGCCTTTACATGATTGAGTCTGCATTCCTAGAGACAGATCACCGCCCCATGATCACATTCGTCTCAGGATCTGAGGAAAAACGTGTTGATGTGAAATAGACTCATTATTCACCATCAGTGGTTCTTAAATTCTCAACCAGAGCATTATCAATCTACGTTGCCAGAGGCAATGTCTCTATCCATGGACGGTTTAGATAAACTTCTCTAGTGTGCTGCACTTGACCTCATAAGACTTCTGCCAAGATCTAATGGGATTACATTCTTCTTTGGTCTTTACAAAAAGACATACTTATACTTAGAAGTCAATAAGAAGAATCCAAGAGAGGACCCATATTAATAAGGAACCCTTTAAAAAAAACCCCAAACAAACCAAAAACAATTTTATGGTAGAATGTTTACCTTCAGGAAGTTGTTCAGAGGTAGTTTCAGTTGGACGATATTCTTTTTTCAGTGACACTCCAATAATTTTAAAAAAATCTGTACCCATAAGATTACCATGTGATATAATCAAGTGCTGTTATGCATTTGCACTTATTACTAAAATAATAATAATAATAGCCAACATTTCTGTAGTATTTACTGTGTGCCAGGAACTATGCTTTATAAACATTATCTCATTTGATCCTCAAAACAGCCCTGGGAGGCGTAGGGTTAAGGGGTGCTAACGGGTCCCCTGAGCTTGTCTTTTTGAGTTGCCATGTTTTCCAGAGACACGGAACCCAGAGTGTGCAAGAGGTGCTGAATGTGTCCACATTGAGCCCCCCCACCCCCCAGCTCACATAATATGTTGTTTGCACCCCAAGCTGGATTCCTTGTGTGTCCTTGGGAGGCAAGACTGGCCTCTGTGCCAGACTGGGATAATGCTGTGCACCTGGGCGCCTTTGCAGACAAGCTGAACCTCCTGCCTTCCTATTCTGGTGGTTCCCAAGGGAAAAGAAGGAGGCTTTTGCCATAGCCTTGCTCCTCCCCTTCGGGAGGGCTAATTGCACCATTCCCCTCCCATGCCATGCCCCTTCCTTTTCTCTCTTCCTCCTTTTGTTGTACTGTCATAAATATGCAAACTTCTCTAAGGACTGTGAACTCTTTGGGTTCCACATGCATGTTCATTTCTCTTGTAATAAACCTAGTTTTCATATAAGTCTCATGGTGTGATTGGCTGTTGACACAACAGATGAGGAAACTAAGGCAAACAGAAGTGAAGTGATTGCCTAGGGTTACACAGCTAGTGAGTGTCTGAGGCCAGATGTGGACTCAGGTCTTCCTAATACCAGGCTCAGCACTCTAGCCACCTAGCTTGTACTGCATTATATGACTGGAGTTTGGGATGGGTGGGGGACTGAAATTCTTCTTTGGCGTGGTGATTTGTTTGAGATATAGACCTTTATAGATTGTGTTATTTTTGCAAAAAATGAAATAGTGTAGTTTACTAATATCTTCCTTTTCTTGCAGAAGACCATCTCAGACATGTAGAAAAAGATGTTTTGATTCCTAAGATTATGAGAGAGAAGGCCAGGGAGAGGTGTTCTGATCACGTGCAAGGTAAGATTCGAATATTCATCTAAAGATCAAATGCATTCTTTGATAATATGAATTGAATTTAATCCTTAGCTTCAGAGTCAAGTAGTCAGTAAATTAATTTGCATGATTTCCCTCATATTCTACCTATGAGAACTTGCAGGAAGGTTTCAATTTATATACAATTTACAATATTCTCTAGAACCATGTAGTAAAAACATTTCTTCAGAAATGCAGTCCTAGGGACAGAGAAGAACCTTAAAATCCCTTTCTTTTAGTAATTGATTGTGGTGGGGGGGGAAAGCAACACTGAGCCTTATTACAGCCTTTTTTAAAATCCACTTTAATCAACAAAGTTCATGTGTGTGTGTGTGTGTGTGTGTGTACATGTATAAAGAAGCCATGACCAGAATGGCAGGTTTGAGTCACAGAATGGAGGAATGGAGTGCTCTGTTTTGGGTGGAGGTTGTCAACAGGCAATCCCAACTTAAGCAACTTTCGTGGAAAAACTAGGTTTATTACAAGAGAAATGACTTTACATGTGGAGCCTAATCCAGAGCAGAGTTCATAATCCAAACAGAAGCCTTGCCTTGGGGTAAAAGGGTGGTGCGGTCTGAGCTCCTTGGCCCCTTTCGTGGAGCTCTGGGCTGGGGAGGGCTCATTAGGCAAGACAAGTAAGATTAAAGAAGGGTGATGTTGAGATTTTAAGCCTTTTCACTTTTTTGTAAGGATGATTATTTTAAGGAGAATTTGATTAGATGTTTGATTGTCCACATTGAGGGCAAATTAAAGGGAGGTTAAGCATGGAAGGAAGCACCGAGGATGGCCCTGGCATTTCAGAACCGAGGAGTCTGGGACACCCGGGAAGCTAGTGCCAGCCTGGCACAGGGGATGGCTCTTGGATTCCACAGCTGGCCTTCTTTTCCAATGCCTTGCCCACAGGCAGCCTCCTTTCTTGGAGTCTGAAAGAAAAAGCTGGGATGACCTTAAAGAAGGGCACTTTTGGACTCAGTATAGACCTACTTCTATGCCAGCTTGGTCTCTTGAGTTACTGTTTAGGCACAGGATTTTATAGAAGTTTTTTTCATTTAGAATGATAGCCCTTAGAGATGGTCTAATTCAGTAGTTTTACAAATGAGGAAACTGGCCCAGGGAGCGTAAGTGATTTGCCCAAAGTCAGATGATAACCATTTATTGAAGATTTGAGATGAGGGTTATGTAAATGCCAGTCATTATTATTACCCCGATCTTTTCATTTTTTTCGGTGGGGTTCACATAGAAATGGTATTGGAACATATCATCCTGCTATTCTTCTGTTAGTGGCTATTGCATAGGTGGATGCTTGAGCACAGCTGCTGTATCCACGGTGCTGAATTAGGATGTCGGCCCATCTTCTGGGGGATCCCTGAAGACTTCACTGGCCTGCCTCTTGCAGCAGACAGAACAGGGATGACTCTTCCCTCTTCCTGTTGCTGCGGGTTTTAGATCTCCCCTCCCGGACTGACGCTGCTGCTGTTGTTATTGAAGATGAGGAAGTAAGCTGAATCGTTAAAGCTCTTGCCATTTTCTTAGGTTTTTCTCCAGGATCACATTTGCAAAACATGCGTGTATATGATGGAGAGAGCTAGGTGTCCTGGCTAGTTGGAGCAGGCGGATAAGATGGTGGTGCAGAGCAGTGGCCCTCTAGTAAATCTACGATAGGGTCGATTCTCAGCCTGCGGAATTTTTAAAGTTTTGATTTTAAAGTATCGTGGAAAGGGCGCTGGATTTGGTGTGAAAGGATCTTAGCTCGAGATCTAGCTCCGCTGCTTAGTAGCCGGGCGCCTGTGGGTAGCATTCCTTACCTGTCCTGGCTTCGCTTTGGTCATCTCTAAAAGGGGAAGGATGGACTTGTGGACTGCTCTTGTGCCATGACCCAGCAGGCTTAGTTGGAGGGGACGCCTCCGTGTGCTCCCGTTTGACACTCATGTTGGTCAACACGAGGCAGGCACCATGAGCTCCTTGATGGAGTCTGTCCCTGCAGACAGTGCGGGAGCGGGGCTGCCTGCTGAAGGGTCAGAGTCTCTCTCAGCTCCCTCCTCTTCTGGTTTCAACGCTTTGCTGATTGTCTGGCTACAAGTGGTTGGTTTTTCTTACTCAGGTTCTTCAGACGCTCACTGTCAGCATCGCACAGCTGTGTGTCTTATTTCCGTGTCCCAAAGTGTTCTGTGAAAACACTGGCAAGATTTGTGTGGTGATCAAGTGAGTCTTACACAGATGGGAGGTCCTGGTCAGGCACTTTGTGAGGCCCTGCCATCCTCGGCTCAAGGCCACAATTGCTGCTGCTGCCTTTCAGAATTTCAGCGGGACTGTGAGAAGTTTTGCCTGGTCCATAGAAAGCACTTTATAAACTCCTGTTGACTTGATTTATTTTAATTTATGTGAATCTTTTATGTTTTGGATGTATTTCTTGTAAACAGCATATTGTTGGATTCTGTTCTCTGATCTTTTTGCTATCTTCTTCAGTCATATGGGTCATTTCTCATCTCATTGATATGCACAGTTATGACAGTTGATTTTGCGTTTTTCTTCATTGTATTTGATTTAACTTTTTCTTCTCTTTGCTTCTTGCACCCATTTACAGAGGAGAGGGTGGTGAGAGAGGAGTAGGCTTAGCTCCATTATTCTGTATTTCATGTAGTTGCTTCTTTTCCTTGCCCTTCTTTTATCCCTCACTCAGATCCAGCCACAGGTTAATATGCTTTCTTTTCTCCCCTCCCCTCTCCTCCACTGGTTCTCTTCTCCCTTCCCCTACTCTCCCCTCCTCCTCTTCCTTTTCCCTTCCCTTCCTCCTTCTTCTTCTCTTCTCCTTTCCTCCCCTTCTTCTCACTTCCTCTCCCCTGCCCCTCTGTCCTTTCACTTCTGTATCAGGAGATAAGTAGCATGTTTCATCTGTAGTCCCTAATCCCTAGTTCCCAATAGTCATTGGTTCCTGATTAGTCCAGGTGTGAGATGACAGGTCTTGCTCTAGGCTCTGTGTCAGTGTCAGAACAAAGAAGGAGGTGTGTATGAGAGATGCTGCAAAAGCAGAATCGATAGGACTTGGCATCTGATCAGATAAGAGAGAATGAGGAGTTGTGGATGACACCTAGGTTGTGAGTCTAGGTGACTGGGAGGAGGGTGGTATCCTTTAGAGTAATAAGGGAATCAGGAAGAGGGGAGCGCTTGGGGGAAAGATCATGAGTTCAGTTTTGGACACGTGTACAAAAATCCAGGTTGAGGCTTCTGCTGAAGGTGGAAATGCAAGACAGGGCAGGAGAGAGGTTAGGGCTGAGCGAGTGGCTCTGTCATCGGCGTAGAGGTACTCATTGAAACCGTGGGAGCTAAGGAGGCCTCTTGTTCCTCCTCCGTTCTAGAGGAGGGCCAGTGACATCATGAGTGCGATGTGTTGACTTGGGCCTCAAGTGGATCGGAGGGAAGCCCAGCTGTGCAAAGTCATCAGCCTTGCTCTCCAGAGGCATCAAAGGTCCAGACGACTGGGGATGGCTCAGGACGCAGTGGGTGACCTTGGTCTTTCTAAATGAAGATTTTTTCCAGTCTCAGACAAACTGAAGACAGCTACCGACCAATGGAGAGGTTAGAATTGAGACGAAAGAAGGCCCAATTTATAAATCCCAGTGACATCAGTCTGGAAAGGAGAGACCTACAGAGGTTTCGGCCAGAACAGAAAGCAGCTGCTGTTTACACTCATTCTGAGCAGTGAAAAAACCTAAGCAGAGAGCCACACAGAGGGCTGCACCAGACCTGTTATTGGCCATGCGGTGAAAGCCAGAATGATTGCGGTTTGAAGGCCTGCTCAAGTGGCTCTGTTTAAAACTCTTTAAGCTCTTTTTAAAAACCTGTTTTTCAGAGCCATCTTTCAAGAAATCAGAACTGAACACTGCTCAGGACAAGAGCAAATTGTCCCAGCATTTTGAAAAGAAATAATAAAGAAGAAAGAGGAGAAGGCGTTTGTTGTTTGTCCTTCGTCCTTGAAGAAAACCACTGACATCACAATGGTGATGTCTTGACTCAGAGAATGAATCAAATTTAAGTGAGGCTGAGCTGCCCAAAATCATCAGCCGCGCTCCTCCAGAGTCGAGAGAAACCAGCGGCAACACCAAAGTCAGGATGGCTGGTGATGGTCCGGAGGGAGGAGGAGACCAGCTCTTCCCAGTTTCCGGGCCCGCGGCAGCATCATGGTCAGCCAGAGCAGTGTGGGTTAAGGAAGATCCAGCAAAGGGGAAGGGGAGGGGCCAGACAAGTAGGAGGGGAATCAGGAAAGAGCACCATCAAGAAAACTTAGAGAGAAGACGGCATCACAGAGAAGAGGGTGATCAGTAGGATCACAGACTGCACAGAGGGTAGGAAGGATGGAGGAAAATGCCATTCGTTTTGGCAGTTAAGAGATTGTTAATTTTTGGTCGTGCATTCAGAAACCTTTAACTGTTGCTGGGGTCATGACCCACAGTTTAAGAAGCACTGTATACAGAGGATGTCCTAAAGAATCATAAAATTTGACAGCTGGAAGGGACCTCAGCAGCCAGAGAGTCCAAGCCATAAATACTCACTTAGAACACACTTGGTGGTTGTTCAGGCTCTGCTAGCCCTTCAGGGAAGAGGAACATACCACCTCCTTGATAAGGGACATCCAAACACCAAGAGCCACAGACCACTCAGCAGTCTCATCCCACCTTGGGTATCTGTGCAGAGACACCTGAAGCCATGGGTTTTACAACTAGTTCCTTTCTTAGATTTTGTCTCCTATGAAATCTGTAGGTGTCTCATCTACCATTCTTCCTCCTTCTTTGTGTTTATACTTTATAGTATCTAAATTCAGGGACTATACATACGTAGTTCTCTCCCCACAATCCCTTTTAATTTAAAGTCCTTTTGATGAGTCTTGTAAGACACCTGGTAGACACATTCTTTCCAAGCCTTTGTTGGAAGTGTTCCAAGGAACACTGCCGAAACTCAAAAAGGAATTGTGAGTGGAAAAAGTTTAA